AGATCTCCATTTAAAAATGCAGTCTTAACATCCATTTGATGTATTTCAAGATTGTATAAAGCCGCTATAGCAATCAACATTCTAATGGATGTTATTCTTGTTACAGGCAAATAAGTGTCAAAATAATCTATTCCCTCAGTTTGCCTATAACCTTTCACTACAAGTCTGGCCTTGTATTTCTCAATTGATCCATCAGGCTTCATTTTTCTCTTGAATATCCATTTATATCCAAGAGGCTTGCATCCTGGTGGAATATCCACCAATTCCAAGGTATAATTCTGTAAAATGGACTCAATTTCACTTTTAATAGCTTCCTTCCATAAAGGAGCTTCAGGCCTAGACATAGCTTCCTTAAATGTTTGAGGCTCATTTTCCAGTAGATAAGTCAAGAAATCAGGACAGAAGGATTTACTAGTCCTAGCTCGCTTACTACGTCTAGGTTCTGCCTCATTTGTTCCTTCTTGATTTTCCTCAATATGTCCTTGATTATTATCAAATGCATTTTCATAAGAACGTTTAGAAGAACTTGATTCTTGTATAGATTTACAAGGAAATATATGTTCAAAGAAAGATGCATTTCTCGACTCGATTATAGTATTGGCATGCACATCTGAATTGTCACTTTTGTATACTAAAAATCGATAAGCACTACTGTTATGTGCATATCCTATGAATATGCAATCAACAGTTTTAGGTCCGATTTTGACCTTTTTAGGATCGGGAATAGCCACCTTAGCTAAACACCCCCACACTTTCAGATACTTGTAAGAAGGATTCCGACCTTTCCATAATTCATATGGAGTTTTAAGAATCTTCTTGTGAGGTATTTTATTCAAAATATAATTAGCGGAAAGAATCGCTTCCCCCCATAAGTTCTGGGGTAAACCTGAGCTAATCAACATGGCGTTCATCATTTCTTTCAATGTACGATTTTTCCGCTCAGCAACTCCATTTTGCTGTGGTGCATAAGGCGCAGTAGTTTGATGAATGATACCAAGTTGTGAACATAACGTTCCAAAAGGAGCATCATATTCACCACCTCGATCACTTCTTAATGCCTTAATTTTCCTACCAAGTTGATTCTCAACCTCAGTTTTATATTCAATGAATTTTTCTAAGGTTTCATCCTTGCTTCGTAATAAATATACATAGCAATATTTGGTACTATCATCAATAAAAGTGATGAAGTACTTCTTGCCACCTCGTGTTTGAACAAATTTCAAATCACAAATATCACTATGAATTAAATCCAGAGGCTCAGTACTTCTTTCAACTGAATTAAATGGTGTCTTAGTAAATTTAGCCTCAACACATATTTCACATTTACGATTTGAGTCAATAGTAAAATTAGGTAGATAGTCCAAGTGAATTAATCTACGCAATGAATCATAGTTAACATGTCCTAATCTACCATGCCAAACATGAGAAGACTCAAACAAATAAGCAGAAGATGTGGAGTTCTTATTAATAGTAGGAATTACAGTCAGTACATTCATTTTGAATAACCCGTCACACAGGTATCCCTTCCCTACATAAACACCATCCTTACACAGAACAAATTTATCAGAAACAAAAACCAATTTAAAACCATTCTTGCTTAACAATGATCCAGACACCAAGTTCTTTCGAATTTCTGGAACATGCAAAACATTGTTAAGCGTCAACTCCTTGCCCGAAGTCATTTTGAGCACAATCTTCCATTGTCCTTCAACTTTTGCAGTAGAGGAGTTTCCCATGAAAAGTTGCTCTTCATCCTTAACTTGTTGATAGGTAGTAAACATTTTCTTATCTGCACACACATGTCGTGTTGCCCCGGTGTCTACCGACCATTCCTTGGAATTTGACCCCATCAGATTTACCTCAGACACAACTGCTGCCAGGTTCATCTCAGTCACTCCATCAGACAAAGTCTCCAATTCAGTTATGTGTTCCTGTTCATACTTTGTCTTTTTGGAATGACCTTGTTGATCTTTGCGATTCCGACAGTCTTTGGCCCGATGTCCTTCCTTGTTGCACACAAAGCATTTTCCTTTGAACTTTATAGATCCAATCTTAAAACTCTGACCAACAGTTTGTTTAGAGTTTTGCTTAGGACGATGTCTCTTTTTCTCTTTTTGTCCATGCTCCAATATGTTAGCCTTGGCTTTGAAAACAAATCCCGGATTTCTTTTCTTTTCTGCCTTGCGGTTATCTTCCTCAATCCGTAACCGAACAATCAAGTCCTCTAACTTCATTTCCTTACATTTGTGCTTCAGATAGTTCTTGAACTCTTTCCAAGATGGTGGTAGTTTCTCAATGATTGCTGCCACTTGGAAAGATTCGCTCAAACTCATACCCTCTGCATGAATTTCATGTAAAATCAGTTGAAGCTCTTGGACTTGACTAATTACGGTCTTCGAGTCTACCATCATGTATTCAAGAAAATGGCCAACTACATATTTCTTGATTCTCGCATCTTCTGTTTTGTACTTCTTGTCCAGGGATTCCCACAATTCTCTAGCCGTTTGTAATGGACTATACACGTTATACAATGTGTTGTCCAATCCATTCAAAATATAGTTTCGGCACAAAAAATCAGAATGCTTCCACGCCTCAACTGCAGCAATTGCTTGCCGATCAGTTTCGTCCTCTCTTAAGGCGGGTGCATTCTCTTTGACAAATCTTGCCAAATTCAGAGTTGTAAGATAAAACAGCATTTTTTGCTGCCATCTCTTAAACTCTGTCCCATTAAATTTTTTCGGCTTTTCATTGTGGTTAACCGGGACAGTGGTGGGAAGTGATGTAACCATAGGAGTAGGAATGATGACAGATGCAGATGTCGGGTTTGTATTCCTAGCACTGTTTGCAGTCTCAGTTGCCATTTAAACTTTAACTTTAACTTTCTGATCAAAATAAAATAACAAAAACAAATCTTTTCACAATAATTAAAAATAATTTCTCAATAACTAACTCAAATTAGAGATTAAATTACAAAATCCAAAAAATCAATAGCCAAAATAAAAGACAAAATAGTAGTGATACGTGCAGAACACACCACAAATTATAAATATAAAAATAAACTTCTTATGTTTTGTTACACTTAACAAACAAACAGATTCAAGCAATATAGTAATATATGAGAACCTGAAGCACCATAGACCAAAAGTTTAAACACACACTAAAGTGTTTTAATTGGTCAAACCATAAACAAAGTGCACCAAATCAAACAAACAAATAAATGTGGTCCACTGCAACGTTCCACCAAAGCATTTTTTTTTTTTTAAACGTTTGGAAAGAAACAGACTCAAATAAACAAGACTAATATATATGTATATATAACAGACTCCTCAACGTTAACAGAAAATTCAACCCAGAATATATAATTTGTGCATTACTCCAGATCATACAGAAATTACAGCATCAAGTTTTGTATTAAAACAAAACAGAAAAACAGTTTAAAACCACATTGTTTAGAACCAGCAGATTAAAATTCTGTATAGATAAAAAATAAATAAATACATTCTGAATTATACCAAAACACAAAACTAGAGCAGAAAATGAGACGCAATATAAGGAGTAACTGTATATATATAACAGCAAACACAAAATGATACTTTATTTTAAACAGCATGGAAAACCATTACAATAAATAGAACAAACCCAGAATATATATATATATATATATAAAACAAAAACAGAATCTGCTATATTAAACAGTATGATCACAAAACTATATAAAATCAGAAAATTAATTTAACCTAAACAGTAAATAGAAGTGAGATTTAATTATGTCTTAAAATTGTTGGAGAATAATTTCAGTAAATTAATTACATGCGAATTTACATGCGAATGAATAAAACAAATAAAAAAAAAAACTTACAACTTTATAGCAGATTAAACAATGGTATGAAAATGTGATTGAGGCCAGTGTATGGACACTGTGTCTTTAAGACAGAATTACGCCCTCTCCACTGGTGCACGAGATTAATGGATGTCCTGTCTCCAGGATACAACAATCACCACACACAGAATTTGCACTAACTCTATGTGTACAACGAACCAGAATATGTGCTTTATACTCTCTCAAACTTAAACTCTAAAAATGGAATATGCAAGATGAATAGAGAAGGAAAAGGAAGATCTGGAAAAAATGTTTTCTTTCTTGGAAATAAAAAGGATGGAGGACTGCCTTAATATAGGCAATGGAAACCTGTTATGGAAAGACATGTCTGTGCAATTTGAAAATATGTCCATTGATGTCCGTTGCAATCCATTGCAATTTGAATATAAAATTCAAACTTTCCAGCAACAAACTAACATTAATTCAAACAATTTGGGCCCAAGAAAATAAGTAATGGGCTTGACCCAAACCCAACTTATCTAGGACCTTATATATATTCACCAAATTGTTCATAATTTTCCTGTGTAGAAAATGATGCAACACCATTTTGAGAATTTCCACAAACATGTCTAATGTTCATAAACCTTACTTAGAAGTCAATTTTCCATTCACCTATAAATGGTTTTGACTCACTAATTATATAATCTTGTTCACCATATAGAACGAATATATTGCTACTCGAACCCTCAATAAATGACTTGTGGGTCCTATATAATAATTAGCATAAAGTTTCCGAAACATCAGAATTTAAACCATTTTTCCAACATAACGCACCACACCCAAATAGTCACAGCCCTTTTGAAGCTTGCAATGCCGCAAGCCACTCGACTACATTCTCATCATTTGGCATGCACATCAATATTTCCCGATAATCTGCGTTCTCTAACGTAATGCAGGCAAAATGGAATAGGGGTACTGATGAAGTCTGGGATAACCATAATCCTCTGCATGCATGCCCCAGTGCCATATTTCTACGATGCACCAGTTCTGTGTCTCACCGTGAGGTGCTTCTATGACTAAACCACCTGTGACAAATGGTTGAAACTGTCCGCAAGCACCGATGCTCCACTAGAGATCTTCTTCGACTTTCCACTTATACTATCTCCTTTTTCCTCTTTGCCCTAGGGTCTGCTTCATCAAGATGGACGGTGGGGGAGTTTGGAGATGAGTCAACGACCGGTCTGTATGGCTCGGTGAATGGCTGTAACCCAGGAGAGTCCACTGAATCGGATTCACCGTCGCCAACGTCCTCAGCCTTCTCCTCGGGCGTCCAATAATGTTTTCCAGTCGCAGTGCGCATCAAAGCTTCATACTCCAATGGTTTAGTCTTGAATTTGTAAACGATCTTGTTTGTCTGCAAATTTAATATATAAAAAAAAATTATAAATAAATAATAAAAAAAAAAACTATGAACAATAACATATTGACCTTTTTCAAATGACAATAACATGGGACAATCAATGAACAATTTAGTAACAAGTACAAACCAGTGAAATGTAATGCCATTGTCAATTAACATTTTCATTCTTACATATTCCTTCCTTTGAATCCATAGATGCATTGTTTTCAACAATTTGGCTTTTGCTTATTTTATTGACCAATCACATGAAAATGGTACACAAACAAATTTGTATATGCACTATGTTGAATATTTTTTTTGCTGGAATTTGTCTTCAGTTTTTCCTTTTTATGTCTTTTTTTTTTATGTTGTTGAAATAATTGGTAGTCCACTGAGTACGAAGTTCAACATAAGAGTTTCATTGTAGAGTATATGTTGAATAATTTATTTATAAAAAAAAAAAAAAAAAAAGGGAAAATTTCACATACACCCAAAAACTTGTAAGTAAAAAAAAAAAAAATTGTTAAGAAGAAACTGGTGACACTTTTTTCCTAACAATAACATGGGACAATCAATCAAGAATTTCACTAACAAGTACATGTTGCCGTGGAAATGAAATAATTTATTACGTAAAATAAATTTTAAATTGGTACATACCAATTTCAGCTTTTCCCACCACTCTTCCGACATTGTGAACAACCTGATTTTCCTGTCAAACCCAATGCCGGTGACAGCCTTACTACTATCCATCAACTTGTTCCAAGCCAGCCATTCATTTTTCAACCTGTCGTACTTGTTCTTCGACTGTTTCATATCATGACGTTTACCCGTGCGCTTAGCAAATTTGAGTGCAATTTCCTTGTACCCTGCTATGGTGATGGTTGTACCTACCCGACAACCTACTAATATTTCACCCCTAAGGCACTCTAGGAAGATTTATGTGGTTGCACTGTCCCACGTTGCCTTATGTGCATGATCCACGTCATCAACAAATCCTTCTGGGCCCGATAGGCCAACCCCTTTATTTTTAGACGGTGTACGAAAGGATGACCACGTTGCAGCCATTAGACTAATGTGAGAGCTCATATTTTACACATTAGTAGCCAATTGACAAATATATGTGCACAATACACTCTAAACCAAAACATTATGCAAAAGAGAATAGCAACGACGTATAAAAAAACCAGTACGATAATTACTACCTGCATATAGCGTTTACATAAACACGATAACAATGTAATTACTTGTTCAAACCATTACTTCTTCAAAACCTTACTTATGTACAAGGGTAATAAATAACTGTTTTAGCTATGGACTTTACAGTCGCACTAATAAGATGATGACTATGATGCACAACACACAAATCACTGTTTTCATTACACACAAAGTATTAATAATGTGCAGGACATCAACCCGTAACTGCATGACATCGGTTGTTGATGAGTCGTGGTTAGGGCTCTGTCTCCCTAATTCGTCACACCAACCAAACCAATTAACACATTGCTGATGAGTAAGAAACGTAACACTTATTAGTTATGGGAATTACAGTTTGCAAACATATGGAGTGAGAAATAATCATTTGTTACAACTCACCACGGGCAGGGGGCAAACATAATATGCATGACCAGGATTTTTGTGAGATCTTGAGACCTTCACAAAATAATGGCCATGGCCACAAACACACATGCGTCGTGGCCATGTCGACGTAGCAGTAGAAAAAGAGGAAGCCATCCGCTGTTTTGGAACAGGGAACAACACTGGAGACAACAAAGGCAATAATGACATGAAAAAGCGTATTACAATTTGTCGTGGGACAGTCCTTTCATATTTTCGAGTATATTAAATGAAATGTTTTGTGTTTGAAGAGCAGGTTTACAGTACATATTACTACACACAAAACAAACACATGACTACAATAGTAGCACATATTAGGTTAAAAATTACAATACATGCATATTCGATGAAATTTAGAGTCCAACAGTTAATTTATAACAACAAAATAGATTGAATGAATAGGTAATTAATTTATAGCAACGGCTGATTTTTACCAGAACAATAGATTGAATGAATAGGTAAGTAATGTATAAGAACACCATATTTGCAACAACAGAACAAATTGAATGAATAGCTGAAATTTATGAAGCACAGATACGTTTAACATGAAAACAATTATGAATTTGTATGTTGTACTGATAAGGACATTATTACGAATTAACTCCATGGGATTTGCGTAGTTGAAATTAACAGTGTTAAGAACATATTTAGAAGAACGGAGTTTAAAAAAATAAAAATAAACCAAAAAACAATCAGAGTATTAATTGTGCAAAACAGATTTTCACATCATAAAAATTTGTAAAAAATAAACATAGGAGGAGCCATGTTTGCTGAGAACAGAAGAACGCAAAATAATATAAACGAGAACTACATAATGGGTTTTGTATCAGAGAAATAGGTTTTTAGGTGGTGTTTGTTTTGCCATACTCATTTGAGCAAAACAGAAGAGTATACAAAAAAATAAAAAATTAAAAAGGAAAGAGTAATGCACCTTTGAGTTGTTCAATCAGAGAATTTGCCATACTCATTTTAGCAGAACAGCAGAGTATACAAACAAATAAGAACTTTAAAAAAAAAAAATCAATTACACAACAAATTTTGTATGAGAGAAATTGGTTTGTAGGTGGTGTTTGTTTTGCCATACTCATTTGAGCACAATAGAAGAGTATACAAACAAATAAAAAATTAAAATAAAATAAAAAAACAAAGAGAACAGTGCCAACAGATCTTCTATTAGAGAAATTGGTTTTTAAGTGGTGTTTGTTTTGTCATACTCATTTCAGCAGACCAGAAGAGTACACAAACAAACAAACAAACAAACAAACAAAAAAAATTTCAAAAATAGTACTGCACAACAGATTTTCTATCAGACAAATTTATGTTTTTAGGTGGTGTTTGTTTTGCCATACTCATTTCAACAAAACAGAGTATACAAACAAATTGACAATTACAGAAAAAGAGTAATGCACAACAGATTTTGTAAAAATGAAAACATAGGACTTGTGATGTTTGCTTGTTTGTCTACAACCAACAGAACACAAACTTCTCACCAAATTTTTTGTTGACCAAGAACACGAAAGAAAAAAAATTAAGGAAGCAATCATGTTTGCTGAGAAGCTTGTCACTGGAAAAAAAATAAATAAAAAAATTGTATCTGCACAAAAGATTTTAAAAGAAGAAAACAAAATAAAACAACAAAAACACTTCCAGTTTGTCGGTTGTTTTGCCCTATTTTGTAATCCCATGACAACTGAACTGCCGAAGTTGGAACAACAACAAAAAACCAAAAAAACTAAAGGGGAAAAAAATGTTCATAGCTGCAAATCAGTGAAAGAAAAAAACTAAGTACCATCAATACCAGCCAAATGACAGTGCGATCTGAAACTATGGGTTCAAAACCAGCAAGATCAAGTTCGAAAATGAAGAATAAGCATAAAAACAGGGTTAGTATACCCTACCTGTCGCAGGTCTTCGACGATCGGCACATTAAACAGTCGGCTGGTGAGTCTTTATGCAACAGTTCCGCCAGAGTGAGAGACACTGGAGAGAGGAACCTCACTCTTCTTTCAAACCCTCCGTTCACACCCAAGGTAGATGTTAATATATTTTATGTTAGTGCTTTAGGCTTTAGATTAGTGCATTTACTTTCGGTTAATGGATCCACTTTTGGCATGATGATGTTTGTAATTGTACGGGGAGCAAATATTCCGGCAAGCCCGTATTCCTTTCTTCCGAGCTCCGTCGATGTCCGATCACCTGCGAGCAAGTAATGGTGAGCTACCCGGCGGTGTGTGGCCGGAAAAACCCTCCGACGATCAAGTTAGCACACACCTTAGGATGGATAGAGAGAAGGGAGAGAGGGTTTGAGGGTAAGAATTCCTTACAGAGATGTTCGTGTGTTGCGTATGGGGGGCGCAGACATGCTTATATACCTTCTGAGCCCCATATCCACTCCCAGTCATCTCCTGACACGTGGCTCTGCTATCCCATCTGTCAGCATAAACCATGCCATTCATCACCTAACCTCAACTGCCTGTCATCACAGCTGGAGCTCGACAGCCGAGCTGCCCTATCCGTTGTTGTGCCATGCTGTGCTCCATACCCTAGCACTTCACTGGCCAAGACTGAGGAGGACCGGGCTAGGCGGCATCTCGGCAAAGCCTAGCCCGAGGTGCCTCCTAGGGTCGGCCTTTCTGCCAGTCAGACAACTTCCTCGGATGTCCGCGCCTTCCCGGGCGCCGGTCACTCGGCCTATCTGGCTCCGGCCATCCTCGGACCGAGCATCATGGTCCGACCGAGCACTGCCTTGCCGAGCAGTTTCTGTCCGGTCCGGGGTGGCACACACAGCCCGAACTCTGCCCGGCCCAAGTTCTGGCAGCCCTTCTCTGGGCGAACAGTCGATCATCTCGGCCCAATGCACTGCTGGGCTTTCAACCTGCTCGGTCGATATCTCGGCCCAACTCCAGATCATAAATCACCCTCTCAATTGCCCCTTAATTCCGTCCGCGAAAGCGTGACTGGGATTAATCACTTCGACCGAGATAACATTTCTCCGGTCTTCAAGACGCCGAACCTCGTCCGGGCTAGTTAACATAATTGGAAGATAGAGAGAGCGGTTATATTCCCCGGCTGACATCTTTACTCCAAAAGTAGCTCGGCTGGCTCTTCGTCTCTTCATCCCGTCGCTTCAATCCTGACGT